CGTCTGAGCTGGTGGATACTCGACCTTTACTGCGATGAATTACAGAAACTCACGTACAGAAACATTACCCAGAACGTTAGCCAAATAAAAAAAGAGACAAAGCAAAAAAAAGCACGGGAATGTTTACTTTTTTGTATGCACGTACTCACGTAGTAAATGCTCAAAAAAGGATCTAAGAAACTATATTTTGTTTACAAACAATGTTTACAGTAGTCTCTTATTCTGAGACTGTATAGCCAGCCCTTCAAGACCGGTACCGTAAAACGATTACATCCTCCGTGTCGACCCATCCTGTCTGTATACGTTGAATAAAAATGAAATCCTTCTCAATACAAGTATCTGGTTCTGGAATTCATCTATAAGCAGTTGATTCCAGTCCTCATCTCTGGGAAGAGATTTCCAGTCAATCAGGCTATACACGCACGCCTATTGAAGGGTGCGTTTGCTAGACAGCCCTTTCTCAGGACTTTTTCTACCGGTAGTTACCCAAGGTAAGACATATTATTGGCTAGTATGAGCCATAGGAAGAATTTCAAACACTGCGTACGGTAATGCAAAAAGAAAACTGGTTCCTACCCCGTGGAGTTTTTTTCTTCCTTAAAGGAGAGCTCGAGTTGGAGCTAAAATCCTCGTCTCGGAAAGTACTCTGCCACCCTCCTGAGCTGGAGATTTTCACCCTATAAGGATGGCACAGCATGATATCCTTCCCATGGATTTCCTTTGATACAGTAAGACCACTTTGGGTGAATTTTTCCAACCTACACGAATGGATATGTTCCTGGTCATAGCGAAGGCTCTCCTTTGAGCAGTAAAGTGACAGCATTTGCGATTAAGTAAGGTTGGAAGGCAGTGGGAAAGTGAAGAAAAAAGTTTCCCCTCACTTTCAAGGTCCAGGTGGATCTGTGGAGCAGCAAGATGACCTAATACGGTATAGACACATAAAGATAAGCCTTGGAATGGATCCCATGCTTACTAGCCTGTCATCCAGAGCCCTCAAGTCAACCTTACCAGTGTCTGACTAGACACTACCTGGGGAAAGTTGTCCTACTGATAAATCTACTGCGATGAATGAATCATTGCAAATGTGTGGCATTCAGTGTGGAAACCGCTCTTGGGTCAACAAAAGCCTTCGATCGGCAATGAGAGAGATACAATATGTGGGAGGAAATCCGGCAGTTCATATATTTACACTTCTCTGATACAGCTCACACACTATCCCGTGGAAAGTTGTCCTACTAAATTATATGCTCTACTCCTACTAAACTCTAATCGAACACCAAATGAGTTTCTAACGAGCGGAAGAAAAAACAAACCGGAAAAATAGTGTCAGATGTCCAAAATCCAAAAAACGTAGCTTACGAACCTCAGAATGCGCCCGTGAAGGCGGCATAGACATCCTGGATGCCAGGCTGTTCTGTGGCGTTGGACTAGGTCAACGTCGTGAAATAAAGTCAAAGTAGAAATAAGCTGAATGGCAGCTGAATGTTGATGTTAGATGTGGTGCAACACACACGGTACGCTGGTTGGTTGGTGCGGGAGACGGGGACCGCGGGCACGGGGGGTGGGGTCCCTGGTACGGTGTGCGCAAGGCGCTCTCGCAAGGGAGGGGCCCGCTGAGCAAACAGCTGACCGGTCAGTCGAGCCGTTGCCGAAGCTACGATCGGGTTGGAGCAGACGAACTGCTACAAGGGCTGAGATGTTCGACGAGTGGTGATGGGGACCGCATGAAACGTGATTCACTTACATTGATGGGGAGCGGGGGATTTCAAGCTCTGGGCGGGAGACATTCGGGGAATGGCAGAATCTCAGGGCATACGACCATTCCATCACAGAAAAAACTACTAGTGTAACCAGCTGCAAGCCGGAAATCACTAATGAGTACTTCTTTACGAGCCAATTACTCCCTCATTCCAGCTACGGAATGTGGCCAAGAGGCGAGTCTACCCTTCCGATGCTGGATAGTTGGAATTAGATCGGCCTAGCAGGATGGCAGCAAGAGTGTCTCAAATCCAGTTAATACGATTCCAAACGGTTGTACTGAATGACGAACTGAGTGTTTATCCAAATGTGCACGCGATTCGAACGAGCGCTTCCGGGCTTATAACCGGACCCACTGTTTGCTTGGCGAAACCAGCAAGATGTAGAAGGAGCCCCGTCAATTGGTTTTTCTCAGCAAATCGATTCCCTTACACGGAATCAAACAAAATCGAGAGCACTCCTAGCCATGTAGGTTTCCGATTTCATCCAATAACAAGGGCCTAGCAACTGGCCGCTTCCTCCCATGTCCTGTCATCTTGTGGGACATTACCCACCCGAACACACATTACATTTCTAACAGTATTTAAACTGATCTTAATTTGATTATAACTTGCAAGAACCTCCACCATCGAGTTCCATGACTTTGATTGAGTTCGATATCACTTATCGTTTCCATTTGCCTATCTAAATGTACGTGACCAACGGGACAGCTCGTTCGCAACGCTTCCTGTCGATGTTTCCTGAAGCTGAAATCTATTCCAAACACAAATGAGGTGCACGGGTTTATGAAGAGTATCAAGAAGCAAGAATTGACTGATTGCAGAGCTGAAACAACGGAACAATTAGAAAAAAACGAAAACGAGAAATCGGTTGGTGGTAGTTTAATCTATCCGCCCGAGACACCTTGAGATGATCGCATGGTAACAACAAAAAAAAATCGAGCAAAAAATCAAAGCTATCGAAAAAGAATAACGAGATTGCAGGTAATAAAATCAATAACAAAATCAAATAAAAACAATTATGTGCGTGCAGCTTAACATGGTCGGCGATCAGCTGGACGAGCACGTGGGGCACATTTGATGATGTTGTCGACACGGAGAATCTGCTCTGCCGCTTCAGCTGCGCTTGACACCATACACATCTTCACATTGAACGATTCAATAATTCCCAATTTAACAACGTCGGCGATTGTTCCATTCACAACATCTGAACAAATACAAATTCATTCCCTGAGGAAGCATTCGACTAAATCCAAGACATTAAAGTTTACGTAAGCTAATCAATCAAACTTTAAATTCCTTTAAGATTAATCCTACTATAACTCAGCTTACATCCACGAGATTTGCTTGTTTTATAGCAAAATGTTCTCTATTCTAGATTCCCTCGGATCAAATGACAACTACGGCCACACACTAAATAAAAACAGTAGCAAACTTTGGATAATCTGTACCCGCAGTTTGGAAAAGCCTGAACCTATTGGCGACTAAGACCCCTGCTAAATGTGCAGCTAAGGTTTATCATAATTGCAAAATACTCCCTGCTATGAATCGCGAACAGGGTTGTAAAGGCGCAGAGGAGAAAATCCAACCAAAAGAAATCACAAATATTTACTTCCTACTCCAAAGAAAAGCGGTAAACTAACCTATTCCCATATTATGATGCCCATTGGCATGTTCCGCCCTCAATCTGGTTACCAGATCAGCGCTATCGAGACCAGCATTATCACAGATGATCGTTGGCAGCTGCGCCAAAGCACGACCGAAGGCTTCAACTGCCAATGCCTCTTTGCCTGCCACCTGAAGGCAAAACTTCTTCCACAACTCCTCACAACAAGAGAAAAACCTGATAAATCCGTACCTTATGACTTTCCATAGCAACTGCGGTGCTCATAAGAATTTCTGAGGCACCTGCACCAGCTACAGCCTTCGACTCTTTCACATGGGTAACTAAGACACAAAGAGCATCGTGTAGCGATCGTTCCGCTTCTTCTAAGATTTGTTGAGTGGCTCCACGGAGCACTATAGAACATGCTTCTCCTGGAATTAAGTACTTACTGCAAACCAACTGGTCGAATCTAATTCTAAATGAAGCGCTATTTGAAAGCACAAACCAAGTGGAACTCCGCTAAAGCGCAACAGACGATCTTCGCCAATCATCACTTCTTCGATAAGATCACAGGATCCAAACTTGACATTTTCTGGTGTATCAAACGTCGAAACAATCTCTCCACCTTAACGGGAAGAATCCAGGGGAGAAAGACCCACACAGAAAGAACACCCGCAAAAATAAAAACTATACCAAGAACTAATGCAAGCCGTTCGATGCCTTCGAAGTCAGCGTGCTCGATAGCCATCACACCGGCATCAGCGAATAACTGCTCAGGATAATTGTAGATTAACTGCCTATTGATGAAGACGTTGGCTTTGTGAGCCAGAATTTTGTCCACCGGAAACGTACCAATGTTAAAATTTAATAGAATTCCACATCATCCTCAACTCGCAAAATCGATCATACCTTTTCTTTCATCTTCAGCTTTTCCGCAGCCTCCAATTCCGCCACTTTGGCGACAGATTCGACACGAACACGGGAACCAAAGACCTTCACCTATAAAAAAAGTAACGATACTTGATGATCGTCAGGCGACAGCAGCCAATCGCAAATATGTGACCATTGACAATAGAAACAACCCTCTAAGAATTTGTATAAACACCCTCGCACCGTTTATAGTTTCGACCATAAGTTACTAAAGTTTGTTCAGCAACTAAAAATATAAACAGTAGAACAATTTACCTTATCTGTATCCATTGGCGTGTTGGCAATGAGAATCTTGGCCTTCTCCATCCTTCTTGGTTGAAACATTCCCGGCAACTTCTCAAGAAGAAATCCTAAAGTAAACTAGTTATGGGCCTGATCATGCAGTGAAATGGCAAACTTCGACGTTTCTTCAAGCACCTTCATCGAGATAAGAGTCACTCATTGAACCTCCGAGCTTCTTGATAATTTGAATCGCATCCAAATCTCCCGATCCCTAAACAAGATAATGAGAAAAACAGAAAAGAAATGAGAGAAGGGTGAAGTTAGAGACCTTCATCCTCAGGACTGCATCGACAGCTAGCTTAGCGAAATGCTCCTTGTGCTGATTGAGAATCTTAGATCCCAAAGTGGTGCATGCAATTTTCATCAGATCGTCCTTCATATTCTCTCTGAAAAGTGAACGAAAGATTCATAGTGACTGGTAAAAATTTACAGAGAAGGTTCTAGAAGTGAAACAGCACGAACTGCCTAGTGTTGTGGGATAACAACAATCGAAACGATCACAAGGTGAGTGAAAGAAGTCTTATAATACTGAGGTATACCCCAAGTAATGGGAGAACATTCTTCCACGGGGTGAGCTCGTTCGCCAGAGCTCTATTTAGTAAGGATAGCGACAATCCCATAACTAAGAACTTGTATCGGATCAAAAATCGTAGAAGTGTTTTAGGGGCTGGGGCCGGTTTTGTAAATGTATTAGGGCGAACAAGAGAAGAGAATAAGAATTGACAAACGACCATCAATACACAATAATACCTACCCAGATTCAACACACGAAGAACGAAGAGCGTTTTGAGCAATCGTTAGGGCTCGACGATAACCAGAGATAATTGTTTGTGGATGGATGCGTTGGTTGACGAGCTTCTCAGCCTAATTTCCCCAACATTAAAAAGGTATTAATGGAAAATCTAATTATACAGCGACCAAAAAGGGCAACCTCTTTTAACAGTTCAGCGGCAAGCACAGTTACTGAAGTAGTCCCATCACCGACTTCATTATCTTGAGTCATAGACATGTCTGAACATTAATCTATATTCACATGTAAAGCTCAAAAAATCCGAACAGGCGGGTACAAAGATGAAAAACAAAAAAAANAAAAAAAAGAAACTTGTTTATTCTATAAATGTTGCAGAAACAAAAAAGAGCTCTTGTATATTCTAAACAAGAGGGTGAAAAAAAAACTTGAAAACCAACCGACTAAAACTTTGGCAGCCGGGTTATCCACACCAATCGACTTCAGAATTGTAGCACCATCATTTGTGACCTTGATTCCCTGATGTTCTCCATTACCACTTATGAGAATTTTATCCTAGATGATTCATTGATCGATTCCAATGAATTGAAGTAACTTGCTGTTTCAGGAAGTGGAAAAATGAACGAACCATGCCCTTAGGTCCAAGGGTCGATTTCACAAGGTCTCCTATGGCAATGGCCCCAACGAATGAGCTCAGACGAGCGGTTTCACCTCGCTCCTCCTGTGCATTATTCTTCAAAATTTGCACAGGCAACATATCCGCGTCTGAAAAAGTACTTCTGAAAAGTGATTGCCATCAAATTTCTGAACCACGCTCGGACGAGAAAATAGAACCTTTTAACGGTAATCTTCAACTAGCTCAGATTTTTTTTAATAGCTCACAGCATTAAAAAACGTTAGACTCGGAAAAAGTGAGGAAAGGCTCAGGTGAATGCAGAAAAAAGGGAAGTTCAATTATAGTGCTTACGTTTAAGGAAAAATTGTATATTTATAAATGCAAGTGTGAACTGCTACAGATATGGCTGGTTTGCCTTACTTTTACTTTACCCAGGTAAGAGGAGAACAAGAATAATGGCTATGGAAACAACACACAACATAATGAACACAACAAACTTGAGTAAGTGAGATCCCCTAAAGAATCCTCCTCAAGTTTAGGAGGAACAAATGCCGCGAACATTCGACAGCAGTGTAACATCGCGACGGCTTGAGTGCACTAGAAACTGCGCACGCGATATTGCAGACAAAGTTGTGTTGTGAACTCGAGTTTGAGAGGTGCCGTTTACTCACTTTTATCTTGTGCTAAAGTAAGGTAGAATTAAATTGTCGCTTAGAACCTTCGAGTACGGTAAGTTAATCGTCATGTACTCAAGTACTTTGAAAGGGACGTCTGAATTAAGCTTCGCTTTATACTGCAATCTCCCTGGGAGGTTGCAATGTTCTTCCCGAAAGAATTGGCCAGCGACAATAAAAGTAATTTGAATAGTGAATCTAAAAGTAGGTTGCGAAAATATAACTGAGTAAGGGGGAGGGGCAACCGTTTTTCCCAAAATGAAGCGTTAGAACGGGGAGAAGGAGGGGTGGCCAATTTCGCGAGTCCATAATTTTGCTTAGGAAAGTTTCCTAGCCGAGAAAATCAGGCCTTTAGATCTAAGCCTCGGAAGGGAAGGAGCAGCAAAATGCGTGAGTTGAATGAAGCTCAACTCTTACCACATTCCTCTTTTTTGCCCGAGATAATCATGCCGCCTACCTCAGTGCTCCTCACCTCCTAGGGCTTCGGAAAAACTATATTCTCATGGCTAACATCCATCTCTAAACATAAGTGAATTGAGCTAAACCTGCTTCTCTGTACCCTGGTGCTCAATGCTGGGTAGGAGCTGCGGCTTGCTTCCCGACAACTTGTGGTTACGACGATTTACTCAAGAAGGGTGCCAGGTAGTTGCCAGAGTAAATGCACCAGTATCGGGTTGTTTAGCCCATTTGGCAGGGTTTCATCGAAAAGAGTATCTACCTTGTCCTCGCCCAGGCATGTCCAAAAAGGTCTAGGATTGTCGCGTAGTCAGGGAAGGAGCGATGAAGCTTGAAGGATTAGATCTTGTCGTTGATCGATCTCGCCTCATGCATACGCTCATGCATTATACTTCCATTCAGAATTGCAGTGGCATTTGCATGTGTATTTGCACTATGCAATGATTTGTGGGAGCCTGAGCA